CTGATGACACATACAGCGACAGCAGCACGAAAATAGAGATTCTGCCTTTGGTTGTTCACTTCTACCATAAAAACCTTGAAACGGTTCGCTGAATGAATGCTTACCCGTCTATGTCTTAAATCTAACAATTGCACAGGTGAAATAGACCCCTGAAACATCCTCCAAACGTTCCAATTGACATCATAAAGCGTTCAAAGGTAATTCCTTCAGAAATGTTGCGCTTTCGTCGTCTGCCCGTTGGCCACCGCTCAGTGTTAGACACGGGACCGACGCGGCATGGCCTCTGGAGACTGCGACGCTGGGCACCAGTGGTGTTTGTTTATGTCAGACTTGCGAGAGCGCATGGCCAAAACCAGATTATGCAATTCTTGCCCTAGTTGATCCTGAACAAAGTTGAGCATTCTGAGACCAAAACAGGTTTATTTGACCGCAAATATACGACTTTATTTAAATCTAAGATCTACGTTTGCGATGTCTCTACACAACCCTGTCCCTGTAAAGTCCTGTAGGTACAGCCACTGAGTGTCACCGGCTTGGAAAGAGTTCACTGAAGCATTGTGAAGTGAATGGCACCGGTGTATTGTTTTCAGTTTACTGACTTAAAAATACAAACAGCATTGTATCTTTTAGTGACTTCTGCTTTTTAAAAAGGGTAGGGCTCTGTTCGAAATGAAGTGGTCCATAGCCGATGACTTCTTGTTTTGGGTTGTAGCCTTTTCTCATGGCGAGAGCTTGGTCAACCCTGTGTCCCACCCATCCCCAACCCCCCAATTACCAAGACTCTGGCTGGCTCGTCCCTGCGCTGGTACGCTCATTGGGCACCGGACATGCGAACGTAAGTATCACTGTATGAGAACTGAAAGGTCATCTCAAGTAGCAACGCTGTTACAAAATCAACCTGCACTGCGCATGACATTGGTATGGCGGGTGTTATATACATATACATTTACAAACACACACACACACACACACACACACACACACACACACACACACACACACACACACACACACACACACACACACACACACACACACACACACACACATATATATATATATATATATATATATATATATATATATATATATATATTATAAAACTGATATCAGAGCATTAGGCACGAAATCCGAGAAGATTTTGACTGTGTTCCCTCATGACGACTTCCGCAAATCTGTCCCCCCCCAATCATTTTCAGAACTCGTCTCCCATGAATAAGGAAACCCATGTATAATCATGTGTGTATCGGTGCTTGAAAGGAGTGTTCCACATTCATATGGGGATTTAACTAAAAGAGCCATATTGAACACCTCTCTGTGCCATTCACAAACCTTCAAGAGCGAGAACTTGCTTTAAGAACATCTTAAGATAAGGACGTGATATTTGACGTGTCGAATGAAGATACAATAGTGCGCGCGTGTGCTGAAACAAACCGATTTAACAATGCCGCGTTGCTGAGCATACACGGCAATGCCCGTAAAACAGGTGACGACAACTTGGAACACAGCCCGTGTTATAACATTTGTATAACCTGTATATAACATGCATTTTGATAGCAAGTGATTCGCACATTACTCTGTCTGACGCATGTACAACATGTCAGTTTAAAAATACATTCTGTTGCCTTTTCATGCGGCGTTGATTACAGAGTCGGATAAAAGTCTGCAAGATATAAGTGCGTGTTCCAAAATAAACGAACGAGGCAATATATGACAAGGTGTGTACAACCGAAACCTAAGCAAGGTACGAAGAACTGCGGATAAAACATTCCATGCAGTTATGGTAGGTCAGCTAAACGAGAAACAATTCGCCCGTTGTCGGCAAGACTGACGGAGCACAGAAAGCTAGCCATCGGGGATGAGCGGAAGCCCGCTGTGGTGGAGCACGCATGAACCTGTCGCGACCACTAATCAGCCTGCGGTAAGCTTACCATCACCGACAGACAGCAACACTGGAAACTTACGCAGGTCTAGCAGGCTGTGACATTGACAAATAGATTCGTCAGTAAACCAAACCTATCATCAGCCCGATATGGCTGCCAATTCTGCGAACAAAATCTACAAATACCCATTGGGATGAATACGAGGAAGCTTCAGCAAGGCAAGACTGCCCTTCCTGATTAGTTCAGTGGTAAAATGATCGACGTGTTATTAGAAAACCCCGTTCCGAATCCCGGCGATTGCAATGATAAAAATTGAGCTATGACGCGTACCGGGCTGCAATCCGAACACCAAACACATCCCATGAGAACCCATTAACATTTGAAGATGGCCGGATAATTAAGTGGCCGAGACATTATGCACATACCAACACACCACACGAGGACGATGGCCAAAAGATCTACTGCACCCGTAATGGTAATGCCTCATCTCAATAACGCCGTAAAAGTAGTGGATACGATAGTATGTGCTTCCCACAATGATTCATGGGTTGTCATTGCCGCAATTTCGGGTGAAATCACACAACAATAGCACTCATTTCATTTTGATATGGCAAGGTGTGTCATGTGAGACGATTATTCACCGCACTGCAGTGCCTACGGAGAACTCAGCACAGCCCTAGACAGCGCAACTCAGGCTGTTACTGCTGTTTTATCACCTGGATTTGGTGTCAAAGGGTTATCATCGAGATCTGTAACTTACGCCGCAAAAGCACATACATCAGTAAATGTCTCTAGGACATGGAGTGTCATAAATAATAACTAACCAGAGGCATCTTAAGGATATCTTATCACATTACTGTCAAAACCTATTGACTTCGCTAACGACGGTAAGCGCCGGCCTGTAACAAGGATAGCACAATGCTGACGCATCGAGACCATCCGGCTGGATCAAGGTCAGCGTTTGTTTTTCATGGTTGGTCTTTTACATACTGCTCATTGATGGGTCAAAGCAGCATATATGGCGTCTTGATATGGTAGACATATGACATTGCAATATGATGTTGCGCTACACATCAACGAGACGATAGGTTGCAGGGGGCTAGGTAGGGAATGGCAAGCGTCATAACAAGTCGGATTAAGAGTGGGGGTAGGAGTGGTGGGCGGAGTGCGAGTAGGGTTGGCTAAGTTACGTCACGTTGCGTTACGTTACGTTGCTCTTTGTTAGGCTAGGTTAGGTGAAATTAGGTGTGGCTAAATTTTGGCCCTTTTTCTGCTTTTCTTATCATGCGGTTTTCGAGGAGAAATTGCAGGTGATCCGGGCGTTCCATCTTAAGTTCCAGTTTAAACATGTTCCTAAACTATGCCACTTCGTGCAGCTCCATCTCGACTTATGGTGAAATATCGCTCATCAGGCTGCTTCAAGGATGCTTTATTTAATTATCGTTACGTTGGCCCGCATACCGCTTATAGTCCTCGATGCGCGACAGTTTAGCCACGTCGTAGCGATGGCGCTGGTGGGTCGGTAGTGTTGCATCTCTGAAGCGCTCGGACGTTTGCTATCGTAATTATGAAGGTTTCAAGGTAAGAGTATAGGTGTACGTGTCTCAGATTACTTACGATTTTTGCTGCCAGGAATATTTGCTGCTGTAGAAGACATTTCATTTACTATTATCTTTCGTAACGTATGGTGCCGACGTCTGTGCCTGCCTTGCCTGGTGCCTATGCCTTGTGTTATCATGACATGTGTCATATATTATGGCTGGTCTTTCGCCTTGCCTACCACTTCTTCTTGATGGTTTCAGAACAAGTCTTGCTCCTTTGTAAACTGTGGTGACTTTAAGTATTCAGAATGGATTTTGTGTGGCTCAGCTATAAGCAGAAGCGTTACAGTGCTAAAGATATGTTTTTCTGGCGACGAAAGTATTGAAGGTGTCATGGTAGATTTATTTATGAAGGAGTACACTTGGTATCTGGAAAAGCTATCCATTAAGTCTGTTGCTTCCTTGCTGTCACATGTTTTGCGAAACTTTTCTTTCTATGGTTGGTATTTTGCTTAACAAATATATAATTCATTTTGCATTTGCACTGAACGTACACAATTTGGAAAAATTATCATTTTGAAATCCCGCCATTTTGTTTGTAATACCCGCCAAAAGCCCTGCGGGTCTTTTAAGCCCGCATGTTGTGGGTGTGCGGGCTCAAAAGTGGAAGCTCTAGTTCGCGTTTACCAATGAGAGAGACGATAGTTTTAACACTTGTCCCAAATTTCATCGAAAGAACCTCGCGCTGTAATTTGACAACGTTATATTTCTCGGCGGTAATGATCTCCAGATTCCTAAAAACCTCCAAATTTCTAAACACATGCTTTCTAGAATCCTCAGAAACCTCTAGGAAAAAAAGCACTAAGAGGTATAAAAGCCGTGGAAAGAGACCATTCGCCACATTCCGTCTGTTCCGTCGGGGCAGAAACTATGCACCCCATCCATAATATGATGTGTTGCTTCCTTTTAAAAACTCGTCGTCAACGCCTCACCAACCATCTGTTCCATCAGTCATTTATGGTACCGATATGTTGACATTGACAATTTTCACATACCAGTGTCCTTCATCGGCGACGATGAGTATGGACATTCCGCTTTTCGGCGTATTTTCTTACTGGATAGCACTTCTAACACCACCGGCTGTCACCACGAATACATCGATCAACCTGAAGCTTCAATCGGTCCTTCTTTTGTTGCTGCCTTTTCTTTGTCACCGGTAATTTGGAGATTTACCTCAGTATCTTTCAGTTTGCCTTGACCTGAAACCTGGACGATAACAGCTTTCGCAAAATGGGGCTCACATTCGCATTAATTCATTGGGGGCTGCCACTGAGCAAAATGTCAGTAAAGTCTGAGTTCGGATTTGTTCTGCGAATGTTTTTTTCAATGTTGTGACCATTGGTCCATCTTTATTGACGAATAGAACACCATTGCACCATTCCACAGTATACATTATCGTTCCCCTTCGTGGCACCACTGTCCTGGTGTGTTTTGAAGTACGCAACAGCGTGCCTCCCATGTTCATAAAACATTGCGTAGCTTTTACATGCTGAATGTTCTGCCCTTTTCAATGCTCTTTTAGCCCGGTGTGGCACACCTGTGATCGCTCCAATTTCGCTAGAACTTTTTTCGGTTACCACTCGCCACCTCCGTGGTACCTGTAAAACACATCATTGCTAAACACGGAGAACTGCGTACCGAGCACATCCTATTGCCCACTAGCCCATATCTCTAGTCCCAGGCACCCACAACTTAGTTGACAAATAACATACCAATATCCCGTTCTGCAATATACCACATATTTCATCATCGAAGCGTCAAGGCCATTGTCGTCCCATGAATTATTTGACGGTAAGGATGTGCAGATCCCTAAAACAGACGTTAGCGTTCTGCAGATGTGGAACATCATCAGTTGGTGATGGTTCTTGGGTCTCTTGCATCACAGCTGTGAGCGTTCTGATTGCTCGAAAACGTCTTCGGTTACATCAGCCACCTTCGTAACACCTGCAAATAAAAGCAGAGTTGCAAGCACGGGCACCGTCTATGGCGCACATCCTGTCACATGCCAAGCTACCGTTTAAGTCCTAGGAAGCCCACAACTAAAGGGCCTATGTAGCCCATCGCATGTCGCTAGTCACCACAGACTATGGAGCTTACCTCACAATTGAATGGCCAGCTCCTTAATCCCATGCATGACCTACCACAGAGTCCCTTGGGTACCTCACATGGTCCTCCGTTGTGGTTTATCACAAAGCTTTCTGGTCAGCTTCCCTGTGGTCCCGCATAAAGGGTCACCAAAAAGCACCCTGGCCAGCTCCCTTCCAGTCCTGTACCACGGCCTAGTGCCCAAGCTAATGGCCAACTCCTCAACACTCCTGCGCACATCTCACCGCAGTCACATGACCAGCTACACGCCACCACTCCACTCTTGTTTATAAATCACCATCGAGTGACATGGATCGATCACCTCTAGTCCTGTATCTAGCTCACTTCACAGCTGACGGCCACTTCTTCTCCTGTTTCGAACATCACTCTTCGTCATTGGATCTGTGGCTCTTACGAGCTCCATATACCCAAAGTTCCATAGTCAGCTGCAGTCATGTGCTATAGTCCTCTGCAGAGACCCATGGCTAACTCCCCTTCATTTCTGTGCAATAGATTACCAAAGTTTCATGGCCTCCCATCCATAGCCGTGCTACAGCTCACCGCGAAGGTCCATGGTCAACTTTCCTCTAGTCCTGTGCTATAGCTTACCGCAGAGTCCCATGGCCAGTCGGAGCTCGCTTTGCAGCAGCTGCAGCGCTAGCCGTGCGCCGCGTTGTCCGTCGTGCGCAAGGCCCCAGAGCAGCGGCCGGCCCACGAACACCATGCACGCGCCCAGTGCCAGCGCCTTGAGCGCGTCGGTGCCGCGCCGCACGCCGCCGTCCATGAAGACGGGACAGCGGAGGCCGACGGCGGCCACCACCGGGCCCAGCGCGTCCACCGTCGCAATACAACCGTCCAGCTGGCGGCCGCCGTGGTTGGAGACGATGACGCCGCTGGCGCCGCGGTCGGCGGCGGCGACGGCGTCCTCTGGCGTCATCACGCCCTTGACGAGCACCGGCAGCCGAGTGACGCTGCACAGCCAGCTGAGGTCGTCCCACGTTACAGACAAGTCGAACAAGGCCTCCACGTACTCATTGTCTCCCCGATGGCATGCCTTGTCGACGTCCGATGCAAAGTTGCCCAATCTGAGAGATCCAGCAAGTCGTCATAGGACATGCAACAGCACTCAGTCAAGCATCAATGCGGACCTTTTCGCTGATCACTGTCAGGTCGTCCTTCAGTATGCGTGTTCATGACGTTATGCTTGGATGGCGGTGGTGGGAAAATTGGGTTCGTATACACTGAACAATGATTTTTTGCGTTGTTCGTCGTATGATGTGAAGGTTGGCCTTTGGTACACGGCGCTACCATCTGCTTAGTTACGTGAAGGACATTTCCCCGCCATTGACAACGTCCTCTCATTTATTCCATTCCAAGCTCCGCATTCGCGACTGTTTAAACGTCATTTATTACCTGAGGTGTGAAGGCCTCTGAAATCCGTTCCTGGCATCGGCCAGCCTTTTACCGAAAACCTGAGCGTCCACGGTGAGCACGATGGCCGAGAAGCCGGCCTGTTCCGCCCGCTGCACCATCTTCACTGTCGTCGACCTGGACGGAGGAATACTTTTAGACGGCGCCTCCTGGTTATGCAGAAACGGATGCATTGATCCGACAGCTGTATTCCAGTGAAATCTTATCATTAGTCCACTGAAGTGGTGTTGAATTGTATCGTTTGTCAAGGCCTGGTCCAGCCAGTGTAGTCAGCCAGCCAATAATCTGCCTGACACAAACAAACCTATCCTTGAGGATGTACAGCTGGAACCACTTGATGGCACGTGGCGCTGCGTCCGCCACCTCCTCTATGCTCTTGTTTGACCCGCTGCTCAGGACAAACACAGCCCCCATCTCCTCCGCCGCTGAAGAGCAATGGAATGTGAACAGGGAATCCAATCAACAGTCCTGCCGTTTGATAGCTTAAGTCTTCCTACGGGCTCCTAGGCATGGTGGCACGGTCTGTGCAAAGATTCAGTCAGTGGCTTGGACAACACATGCCTTCATTGCATGAGCATTAAAGCATTGAGCATGAGTTTAGATTATTAATGCTGTGAAACACTAGCAATGTTGGTTTCAAAGCGAGTCGATCATCTTGCGAAGAGACGAAGAAAAACCGCTTCGTCAAGAGCACGACAGTACAGCAATCCATTTTCCTAGCCATTTATTCTCACATTGCTTGCTTCCGATTCCTTAAGTTGGTGCAAGTAACGGCGGGGTCACCTCTTATTCTCACGCAACATGTGCTCAAGGCACCGGATGTTGGATCTTCCGTGCTTGGGTCAGCACGTGCTCTGGCCGGGAAGTTTGCTGGTGCCCTGAACATGTGGCACAGGTACCTCCGACTTGACGACGGTGGGCCAGCGTCACGTACCTCTGGCGGTCGCGCACTCGCCCTCGGGATGCGCCATCGCCTGCATGGCAGTCGGTGCCACGCCGATTGGCATGCTGACCTCGTGACCCAGTACCGTCTGGGTCAGGTCAATGGTGGAGATGTCCACCATGCAGCGTGGACGCAGGCGGTACCTGCGGGCAACGCAGTGTTATCCTCGAGCGATGTGATTTGTTGGCTATTGGCTAAACCAACTTTACCGATTTTTCCAGCCATGTAGCGAAATTCAGGCATGTTAACAAAGTTGAAGGTCGACATTTCATGCCGAGTTGTGGTGATCCTATTCTGAAACCTTGCTATGCCGACATACCATGCCCATAGACAAAAACTTTCCAAGTGTTCTGCATGCCATTGGAGCGACATTCCCTAGATTCCTGATCTCGTGCGGGATGTGTGATACTACTTTCGGGCGATTAATGTGAGTGCTCCATTTCTGAGTCTCATCCTGGCTCTTACTTTTGTAACGCTGTTAGTGGTCCATTTCTGAGTCTCATCCCGGATGTTACCGTTGGAACGCTGTTAGTGGTTCATTTCTGAGTCTCATCCCGTATCTTACCATTGGAACGCTGTTAGTGGCCCATTTCTCAGTCTCACATTTCCGAGTCTCACCCTGGCTCTTACCGTTGGAATGCGGCATTGTTGTCAGTCAGGGTCTGCTCTCCGTCAGCCCCGCTGTTGTAGTAGCCCAGGGCGTTCTTGTCCAGACGGGCCAATGCCGCCTGCTTAAGGTCATCAATGCAGACCACGCGAGACATGACTGCGGCAAAGCCAACAGGTAACACCAATTTTGTTTTGTCTGTGCGTGCCAATTCATTTGGCATGAGCTCAGGAAACCACATGATTGCAGAGACACCACCCATTTGTAACTGACTTTTATATCAGCGCAACATGTAAAGACGATACCGACCACACAATCTTGTTATCGTTGCAGCTTCGTAATATTCATCCGAGGCTGAGCATGCAAACCTCATCATGGGATTTGATTCGAACAGCATTTTTAAGCTAGGCACGTCCAGGTTGTTCAAGGCAGTGTTCCTGGTGACCGAAGCGCGGTAGGCAGTTTGATATTTTACTGAGTCTGTCTGAACCTTTCTCACTCTTGAGGATCAGCGTGGCGCGAAACATTGAGTACCGTTAAAATAATCATTATTTGGCACTGCAATGTCGTTTGATCACTGCCTTGTGATATATTCAAAGTCGTTAACTCAACATAATAACTTTTAACACTGACTGTTTTTAACACTGCTCTCAAATTATTCATCGTGCTCATTTAATCGGTGTAAATGCTGAACACGGTGTGACGTGACAACGATGCCAACTGTACGTGACAACGATGCAAACACCGAGTGTTATTAACACTACCATCAACTTATTAATTTTGCTCATTTATTGGGTGTAAATGCTGAACATGCTGTGGCGTGACATCGATGCGTACTGTAATCATGCCTGATAACAACTGACGGGCCTGGTAACTGGCGGGATTACGAATGATAGCGCAGGACACTTCTGTGTACATAACACGGAAACGAATGAAAAAGGAGATAGCACAGTTAGAATTGAACACCTAAACCTAGGAGTCTTCGACGTCGCTGTATCACATTTTTACAGAGTTGTAGAACGCGACACATGCGAACCACGGGGAAGACCACTGATCTGCATGAAGATGTGGGATTGTTTCCTGTAAATACATGGTGTATCCCAAGTGCCCTCACCTGCAGCGTTTCGGTGTATAAATTCACCACTGGTTGGGCGACTGTCAGACGGAGTGTGCCCCGACGGCCGCAGCGCGATGCACTGTAGAGCACCTCGCATTTCTGCAGTTTTGTTTACACTTGGCGCCGTCTTGTTTGTGGCTCTATCACGTGCGGCGCCAGCGGCGGTTTATGATCCGGTGCACCCAGGGCACAGGGAAATGTGGTCGCAGAGGCCTGGCAACTGAACTGGATCGACCTGACTTAAACTGGATCGAGGGCCGAGGATCGAGGACCAAAGATCGAGAGGAGTGGTAACCACCTAGATCAAGGTGAGCGGGGTTGTTTGATGCACACAAGGAGAAGACGTGACGTGTAACACGTTGAGTGTGCGCTGTATCTCAAGATATGTTCCGAAGGATATGCACTGTTGCGGGGCCTAGACAGATACATGCGTTTCTTGTGCTGCAGAGACCAGGAGCGTGTCCGTGCCTAAACACGTTTTCGGGTGCGGGCAATTGGACCCGACGAAGGTTATTCCGGATTCAATTTCGAAGGCCACGGCGTGGCCGCGCCAAATCGTGCTGAGCTGTAGGCAATTAAATAGCGGAGCGTTGGGCACCAAAAATTTTGGTACACCTTGTAAGGTCGCTGCTCTAGGGCAGATCTAATTCAAGCCATGGTTCAGCGAAGACAGTTTACAGCGAATTTTAAATCTAATGCAACAATGGAGTGTTAGGCGAAGCCATACAAATCTGACATAGTTTCCTACGCAACACAAAAATTGAATTAACGTTCAAAGATGAACTTATTCTTACAAAGATTCTATTTTGACTTAGCTTCACTTTAGAATGACTGGCCTTGTCAACACCAGCAAAGCGATAATTATGCACGTCCGACTGATTTGGGTGAAAATTGCATCTGGAAAATCACTTTGAAGTGCATTTCAGAACGTAAAGAAGAATTAGTTATCAATTTTGAGCAGTCGTTCACCGATCACATATCGCGGTCAGCTGTGCTTTATCCCAGTCCGCGTGTTGCCATGTGACATATTGGTAAAACATTCGCAGACTGACATCACATATGAATGAGTTTGCACGACAATAACATTAGATACTTAAAGAACATTATCTAATGCAACACGGGCATCATAATAATGGAGATGCGTCTTGGTACCTGGTGTACCAATGATAAATTGAGTCCGCAATTCTCTGGTCAGTACTCTACTTGAGCGGGGGGGGGGGATGGGAGTCAGATCACCACTGGGGAGACCGGCCCACAGGACAAGTGTATAAACTGACCTCCTGCATGACGCACAAAGGCGAATAAGGCCACGGAAATCACTACTTCAGAATGAGTTGAAGCGTAAAACAAACGACACATGATTGTTTTGTTTTCTAAACAAAAAGGAGTATTTGGTATACGCCGTGTAGGACATACCGTAATCAGGGGCGATATTATCTAATAATGCATTAAGGGAAATATGTTAAGCGGTCCCCAAACCCAGCTCGCCGACACTGGGGCCGACATTGCCAATTTTTATATACCGATTTCCCTCATTAACGACGGTAAGCATGGACGCTCTGACTTTGGCCGTCTTTGCACCCTGAATTGCATTTCAAAGATCAATGTTCTTCGTGAGTAATGTGTGGCTCAACCTACAGTTCCAGTTCGTCTTTTTTACTGTCGTCTTTTTCTATATCACCGGTACATTCGGCAGTTATCTCATTATTATTCAGTTTACATTTCCCGGGGCCTGGACGAAAATCGCTTTCAGAGCATGGAACTTACCTTCGTCATTTATTTGCCGAGGGATGCCACTAAACAAAATGTAAGTAAAATCTGAAGCCGAGCTTGCATCTTTTTGAAAATGCTTTTTCAATGTTGTGGACACTGGTCCTTATTTATTGACGAATGAAATGCCATTTCACCATTGCATAGTACACACCATCGTTCTTCCTCGCGGCACCACTGTCCAGGTGTGCTTTGAACTGCGTGACAGCATGCCGTCCATGCTCACAGCACATTCCCAAGCAATTACATGCAGGATGTTCGGCCTTTTTCAATGCTCTTTTAGCCCCATGTGATACACCTGTGATTGCTCCGATATCCCTAGAGCTTTTCCAGTTACCACTCGCCACCTCCGTGGTACCTATAAAAACACACCATTGATAAACACGGAGGACTGCGTATCGAGCACATCCTACTGCCTGCTAGTTCACAGCTCCAGTCCGAAGCATGCCACAGCTGAGCTGACAAATAGCATACCGTTATCCCGTTCTGTACCTGCCACCTTCGTGCCCAGTGGCTCATTCTGTAAAATATGATGCATGTCTTCATCACAGCGCCACAGTCCTTGTTATCTCATAAATGTGTTTGACAGTAAGGATGTGCAAATTCCTAAAATAGACGTTTGCGTGCTGCAGATGTAGAAACATCATCAGTTGGTCGTGGTTCTTGGGTCTCTTGCACTAAAGTTGTGAGTGTTCTGATTTCTCTAAAATTTCTTCGGTCACATCAGCCACCTTCGTAACACCTGTGAATGAAAACTGCATTTTTATCACTGGGCACCGTCTACGGCGCACATCCAGTTACATGCCAAACTACCGATGACGGTCCCAGGTAGCCCACAACCAAGATGCTTATGCAGCCCATCGCACGTCGCTAGTAACCACATAGAATGGAGCTTATCGCCCACTTCAATGGCCAGCACACCTCACAATTAAATGGCCAGTGCACCGCACAATTCAATGGCTAGCACTCCGCACATTTCAATGGCCAGCTTTCTAGCCCCACACGCGACTCACCACAGAGTCTCATGCATAGCTCAAGTAGTCCTGTGTTGTGGTTTATCACAGAGCCCTCTGGTCAGCTTCCCTGAGGTCCCATTCAGAACGTCGCCACAGAGGACCCTGTCCAGCTTCCTTCCAGTCCTCTACTACGGCTTATTACACCGGCTAATGGCCAGCTCTTCAACACTCCTGTGCACATCTCACCGCAGTCACGTGACCAGGTACACACTACCACTCCGCTATTGTGTGCAAACATCCACTGAGTGGCATGGATCGATAACCTACAGTCCTGTATCTAGCTCACTTCACAGCTCACAGCCACTTCCTCTCCTGTTTCGAACATAACTCTTCGCAAATTGGACCTGTGGCTCTCACGAGCTCCATATGCCCAAAGTTCCATAGTCAGCTGCATTTATGTGCTATAGTCGCCTGCAGAGTCCCATGGCTAACTCCCCTCCATTTCTGAGCGATATTTTACCAATGTCTCATGGCCAGCTCCCCTCCACCGGTGTGCCACAGCCCCTCGCAGATTAACATAGCCGGCTCTCCCGAATGCTGTGCTAAAGCTCATTACAGAGTCCCATGATGAGCTCTCCTCCAGTTCTGTGCTATAGCTTACCGCAGAGTCCCATGGCCAGTCGGAGCTCGCTGTGCAGCAGCTGCAGCGCCAGCCGTGCGCCGCGCTGTCCGTCGTGCGCCAGGCCCCAGAGCAGCGGCCGACCCACGAACACCATGCGCGCGCCCAGTGCCAGCGCCTTGAGCGCGTCGGTGCCGCGCCGCACGCCGCCGTCCATGAAGACGGGACAGCGGTGACCGACGGCGGCCACCACCGGGCCCAGCGCGTCCACCGTCGCAAGACAACCGTCCAACTGACGGCCGCCGTGGTTGGAGACGATGACGCCGCTGGCGCCGCGGTCGGCGGCGGCGACGGCGTCCTCTGGCGTCATCACGCCCTTGACGAGCACCGGCAGCCGAGTGACGCTGTACAGCCAGCAGCCAGCCAGTACAGCCGACGAGTTGGAGAAAATGTCAGCCAAACCTGTTGCACAATCCGATGTCGTTCCACCACAGCGACAAAGGCGACCGGCCCCGCCGCCCACACACCCATCATTGCAAAATGCATGGCCGTGCCTAACACGCAGCATAATGATTTTCAGGTGGGCGCCCCACGCGCCAACCTACGTACATCCCGAGTAACCAGAAGGAGGTTCTCTCGCCAATGTCTTCGGGGAACGCGTGCGCAGGATGTACGCGTCAGTGATCCATCAGTGGGCACGTGTGGATCTGTATGAATTGCGAGCCTATCCGATGCAATGTAACCAGTGTCTCCTCATCAGCCTCTGGCGCAATATCACCAGATACGAACTCTGGCGAGCATAGGAACCATGAAATGTTGCAGGGATCGGTGCAGGAGGTGTTCTCAATGACCTTCGAGGGTCGCTGTCCGCAGGACCGGGGTTGGTTATTATGACCTCTGGCCAACCCTTGGGGCTCTTTGAGCACCCTAATCGGGTTCATTATATTTGGTTTCTAAGAGCCCTTAGACTGTTTGGAAACAACGTGGAAGCACTTTATCCCTGTGCCCGTTAATACGAATAGATGATCCATCATTGACTGTTTAGAGCCCTTTCTGCCTTGCACATGACTCATTCTGGTCTGTAGAGGGGTTATTCAGATCCATAGAGCCCCTTATCGCCTTAAGTGTTCATTATCCTAGATTGGTTATATCTAGATTGGTCACTTAGCTGTAGAGGGCTCATTCTGGCATGTAGATAATTATTTATCATCGTTGAGGGATAAGTCGGCCCGAAGAAGGCACATTTTTCCCTGTAGAGGAACCTTAATGATCTGTAGAATGTCTATTACCCAATGACAAACTCTATTCTGGCATGCAAAGGGAACACCGGGGTTAAAAAACTTACGATTTACCGGATATGATTGGTGAAAAAGAAAACATTTACCAGCCAAATGCTGACAGGAAACAACTTACAACAGACAAAGGCTGTGCGCTGTCGTTGGTTGTGTTCATATGAAATACGACTGGCTGGAAAACGTAACAAGTCGTCAGTTTTCAATTTGAAGGCAATGCTTTACATTTCAAGATATTGAAGTTACTATCAGATATGATAACATCAGGTCACCTACATCTGTTGTGTCCATAAGGTAGAAAAAACCGTTACAGACATCACAATATCCCTGATAAACATGCTCCTATAAATATTGTTCTTTTGATTACGCATTGATTGAGAGCCACTAGACGGCTGTTATATTTGGCGATAGTACTCACGAACGCCAGGCATGAACGACTGGGCCATTACATTTTGCTTGGCCGATATCACGGCTTGGCTTAGTAACTGCCAGGATTTTAATGACGTTATTATGACTTTACGACTGCCAAAGTGACCTTTATATGCTTCCCCAAATTGCTCTCTTACATATTTGCCGTCTTTAAGCCAAAAAAAAAACAGAGCACTTTAGGTCTTAAGGGCATGGCCGTGAGTTGCATCAAGTGGTTTTCAAAATGGCCGCTTCAGTTCAAAACCGCATGGAAATGTTGAACACTCCCTCTAAGGCACTGTGCGGCTTTTCCAAGGACCTTCCAAAGGGAGCGTCCCTAGTAATACGGTTAAAAACCCCTGCCAATCTAGGAAGCTTGTTGTTTGTGGATACCCGAACAGTAGCTGCAGGGTTCCGCGGGGAATTTGGAGCAGCACGTATGAAGGATTCATCCGGGGCTTTCTGCCGCTGAGAGGAACAGCGGCTTTGAGAAAAAAAAATGCCAAGAAATGCTGGTGCAGGCCTCTCACGCCCATGCCGCACCTCAGACTTAGCGTCCCAACCAGAAGACAGACGTGAGATAAAACGCTATTTTTTGTCATCGTATTGTATATCGAACTAAATAAAGGTGGGTGAGGTGTTCAAAAATGTCGTTTGCATCTGCTGATACCAATGTTGCATAGGTTTCGCACTAATCAATTGGGAGCACGATGGGAAGCGCGGGTTCTGCGCCATCGACGATTATGCAAAGATAATGAAGGTCGCCAACTCTTCCAGGTGGTTTTATGATAGCGTAGCAAAACCAAAAGTGATATTGTTTTGAGGTGCTTGTAGAACAATGTCATCTCTAAATGTAGGGCTTATTAGTCCCAGGGGGGAGGGCAAAACCCTGAACAATTTTTAGTACAGAAATGTAGACGGCCGCCACGTCGAAGACACCGAGGTTTTAGGTGCACTATATTTGATGACCGCCCATCGCCAACACCGCGCTTCAACTCCTCGTGGACGCTGACAGGGAAACAACAAAACCTCGGAAATGGACAGACTAGACCTAGAACATAACAGAGCGGAAACAGACAGAACAGAGACTAAAATTAGCAATGCAAAATGAATACCAAAATAGCATGGATTGACTGACGCTAAATTAGACCTCAAGATAATCGCAAGCTAAGTGACTCAACAAACGAGAAGCGAGCACTAAATCAAACTAGAAATGCAAACGGTGCACCGACTACACCCGATCCTGTTAACCAAAAAAAAAGACATCACTTCGCAATCTTCCTTCGCAGCGCACGATCACAGCACGGCCGCAGAATGCCGACGCGGAGCTCGGCCGCAGAACACCGACGCAGAGCTCGGCCGCAGAGCCCGTCCGCATACATCTCGGCCGAAGAGCTCGGCCGCGGAGCACAGCCACGGGGCTCGGCCACGGAGCCCAGCCGCGGACATCACGGCCACAGAGCTCGGCCGCGGAGATCAGCCGCGGACAGCACAACCGCGGGCAGCGCGGCCGCAGCGACGACCCATCTGCGAACGCTAGGCAAAACACACGACATACGCAGCACACGCCACCCACAGTGCGGTGTAAGTTCCGTGTAATTGTAATAATAAAGGGGGCAGCTTCGGCTTGAGGCATGACTGGGGGACTGGGGGACTGGGAAACAGGGTTCGTGAAGTCAGTGAGCAACACTCCAATGACATGTCATGCCCATGTGCACTGTCCCGTTAACAGGACACACCAACCGGTAGCGCTACACCGGTAGGCCTGCGAAGACATTGCCAAACACGACACCAGAAAAGCACCCAGGGAGTACATTTTATCCCATATAATCCAATTGCATTTCTGCCACATTTAGCCAAACTTAAGACAATTTTAACCAACGGCTTAACTCGGACAATAGCAATCCGGTGGCCTAGAAGCTCTGTCAGAGCGCCGGGGGGCTGGCACAGGAGCAGGGGCCCTCGGAGACGCATCATGGACCAACACAGGAGCGGTCACGAGCCCATCAGGTACCAGCACAGGTGCGGTCAGTGGTCCATCTCCACCATCCAGAGCAGAAACGGGAATATCAAGCACATCAGGGGCGTGCTCACCCACACGTCTCTCCGGAACCGCAGCGGATATATCCTGCACCTCTGACAGAACAGGCATCCCTGTCGAGAGAGGCGCCGGGCCACCCACAGCAACAGCCGCGGTTACCGAATTCTCGCCGGCTGGAAATGTGCCACGAGCAAATGGCGACAAGTACGAGTCGCCCTTCGGTGACGTGCCATCTGGTGGCGGAGGTGACCGGGGTGAAGGCTGATCTCCAACCTCGTGGTCCGCAGATAACGCCGAGCCTGGAATAGTCATGTCTGGGCCTGCGACAGGCACTGAGGGGTCATCGGAACGAGGTTTCAGTCTATTGTGGTGAACAACGACAGACTTTTTCCCTCCCAACACCCTCACCCTGTAATTGAGGTCAGACAGCTTAGCCATAACCACCGCAGGCTTCCATGGCCTGACAAACTTGTAGTACTGGCCTCGCTGAGCTACACTCTTGAACAGATACACCGCGTCACCAGCCTGAAAGTGGTACATGGTCAGCTTCTTGTCGAACAATCTCTTGTTGCGCGCATGACGCTTGTTTGAGGCCTGCAGCTCAAACTTGTGGTTTGATCCGCAGTTTGATTTGACAGTTTGATCCGCTCTGTGAGTCTGGACAGATACTCAGAAATCGTGGAGCACTTGGGGACAGCAGATGGTGCCTGGATTTGCACCGCAGCTGGTAACCTAGGATTTCTGCCAAACATCAGGTAGTATGGAGAGTGTCCCAGCGAAGAATGTACCTTGGCTCTGTATCCGAGCATGAGCAGAGGCAAGTGAGCGTCCCAGTCGCCATGGTTCTCGTCCAAGTACTTTGCCAACATGTCCTGTATCGTTCGCATCATTCTCTCACACTCTGAATTCCCTCAGGATGGAAAGCAGAGCAATGCGTTTTCTCAACGCCCAGCAATCGACAAACCTCAGCAAGAAGAGTGCCAGAGAAATTTGCAGCATTGTCTGAATGAATGCGGCGGGGGCACCCGAAACGCGCGATAAATTGGTTGACAATCACATCAGCAACAGTGGCGGCAGTCATGTCGGGGACCGGAAACACTTCACACCAGCGAGTAAGATGATCACAGATCACCAGAAGATGCTTGTTCCCACCGGCCGTCGTGGGCAGGCCAAATAGAAAATCGATGGACAGTCTCAAAAGGTTCTTCGGCAAGCAATTCACCCATTGAAGCCCTTGGGCGCGGAATAGGAGTAGCTCGTGTGTTGCACTTCTCACACCGGCTGCAAGAATCTTTGATGACGGCGTCCATCCCGCACCACCAAAACTCGCGTCTCGCCGTTGACGTCAGCGACTCTGAGCCAAAATGGCCACCAGCAGGGCCGGCATGTAGGGACGTCGGTACACCGGGTATCAACTGTTTTGGGACAACCAGCTGTAGCTGGTCTTCACCACCAGCGCAAGTCCGATAGCAGCGGAAGACAACACCATCGATAAGTCTCAGACGGTGCCATTGGCGCAAAAGTGGAATCGACTCAGTGTCTACAGAAGAGGATCTTGGTCTCTTGCCCAGAGATGAATGCTTCGCAATCTCAGAAATTGCAGAATCCTGATCCTGCTCGTGTCGCAGGAAACTGTTAGACCAGGAATTCGCAGACACCGCACGCACATGTTCATCAGTCTGGGTTTCGTCGTCACACGTCATTTGGGGACATCGACTCATCACATCGGCAGGGACATTCTCAACACCAGGTCTGAACACTACCTCAAAATCAAATGCAGAAAGTATTTCAAACCATCTCGCCAAAATTCCAGTAGGGTTTTTAAATGTCAGGAGCCAACGCAAGCTGGCGTGGTCTGTGCGTAGCTCGAAACGTTTCCCGATCAAATAATGCCTGAAATGTTCCACGAACACGACACACGCCAAAAGCTCTTTGCGGGTTGTGCTGTAATTACGCTGTGATTTGCTCAGTTTCTGAGAGGCATAGGCAATCACACGGTCCTCACCGTCCTGCTCCTGAAAAAGGGTTGCCCCGATTCCCAGGTCAGATGCGTCAGTATCGAGACGGAACCTTCCCGCACCAGCCGAAAAACGCGGAAATGACACAACAGGCGCACACGACAGCGCTCGCTTCAGCATGTCAAACGCGTTTTGCGTTTCCTCAGTCCACACGAACTTTGTGTCTTTTTGGGCCAAGCGGAACAGGGGGGCAGCGATCTCAGCGAAGTTTCGTATGAACTTGCGAAAATAGGAAGCCAGCCCAAGGAAACTGCTTAGTTCCTTCTGTGTGCTCGGGCAGGGCCAGTCCTACCTTTTGGGCCTTCTCCGGTTTGGTGGACACACCATTAGCGGACACTACATGTCCCAAGAAATTTACATTTTTGGTGAAAAATGAGCATTTCTGTAGGTTCAGGGTAAGGCCAGCACTCTCAAAACGTTGCAGAACCGTGTCGAGTTTGGTAATGACGTCATCAAATCCACAGCCATGCACAATGATATCGTCAAAATAATGAACGCAGTCTCGGGGAGTCACATCTCCCAAAACGATGTCAAGAAGACGGGCACAGGTTGCAGGTGCCCCAGCCAAACCAAAAACCATGCGAGTATAACGATACGTGCCGAACGGTGTGGTAATGGTAGTTTTGTCCCTGTCTTTAGGATCCACGGCAACCTGAAAATATGCGCTGTTCATATCCAACTGGCAGAATGTGTCAGAGCCAGCCAATGCCTCAAGCGAATCATCAACTCTCGGTATGTGCTATGCTGGTACCTTTGACACGGCGTTCAGGCGGCGCAAATCAGCAACCAGTCTGTATGCACCAGATTTCTTCTTCACCAGACAAGTTGGGGACGACCATGCACCATCAGACTCCTCCAAAATACCTTGACTGACTAGCTCACGGAGCTGAGAATGCAGTTCGTCCGCCAGGTGAGGTGGAACACGCCTGGGGGGCTGACGAATGGGAGGATGGTCACCGGTATC